CCTCTTCACCATAAGAAGTGCAAGTGGCTAGCAACACATTTCGTTTTTTAGGCAACAAGGTGAACTTGGTTACCCAACTTGCTTGTTTTCTGGCTGACATCTTTGCTTGTATTGTGGCCCTGCTCCGTTCTTGGTCCAACAAGTGCACATGCCATCATCTGGAGTTACAGTTCTTGATTGGTCACCTTCACTGCACTTGTCAAGTAATTTGTCTGGGTAGAACAGTCCTGCACAGTAGGATTGAACTCCTCACTTGTTTTCGTAACCACTCTCATCCGATTCACCTAAACCTTGAGCTTTGTGACATGGAATGGCATCAGTTTTCCCTGGGATTGCCTCACTTGTGTGGCTTGCCTTCATAATTTCATATAGAGGACAATCAAGCACTAGTTGTTACATTAAAAACTTATCCTGGTAGTTTTTACACATCAACATCCTAGTAGAAATGTTAACGCTTATAATCTGATTGTTTGTGTTTTCTAACAGCAGTCCACATTCACTGCTCCTGGTTAACTTGTGGCTGTGATCACCTTATCATGGTGATCATGGTGGTTATCGCAGTAATGACATAGTGTCGAACTGTGTAGGCGGAGGGTTTGAGCGCCTTTGAACCCATCTCTCCCGCATTGCTGGAGTGTTTTGTTTGGAGAAGCAGTGTTCTTGGCATTCGATAACAGTAAGTAATATAGTAATTTGGTTAGGTAATTTGTCAACACCCAAGTGCATGCATGGCCATGTAATACTACGATCGACCCACATCATGGCCTCCATCAAATTACCTCGTCAACGGTACTACAACCCTCTAAAAACTCCAACTAATAGAATAGAAACTTTATTTCACGAGGGAAAACGTATTAACCATAAAAGTTATCTAACATACAGCCCTCGCACTATTTTGATATTTACAGGCATAAAAAGTATTAAAGATTACGACTATTTACATATGAGCAGTGGCGTAGCAAACTCGATAATTGGGGGGGGGGGCAATATTCATATATTCCTGTTCTGCCTTATTAATTTCTTTTGAAATCAATTGTTTTCAAGGTCTGCGAACACGATTATATGAATATTGCCTCCCCCCCCCCCAATTATCGAGTTTGTTACACCACTGCATATGAGAAAAGGAATAATTAGTAATGAATACAATTACAATTTAGTAAATATTTACAATTTATACAAAATAGATCTTCGATATGGTTGGTAAGGTTAAGCTTGTTAATTAAGATTTTACGAATTTTATGTTTGGCATTAGTATATGAAGAGCAAGATGGCAAAGCAGCAAGTTGCTTACAATCGCTATCTAAGCAATTAAAAAGAATGGAAGCACTGTACGGAAATGTTCGTTTACCAGAGTCGGTACACAGGAAGGGGGGTTGAAAGTCATATGCACAAGCTCTAGTCATAGCCCATTGTCAAATAGAAGATAAGAATTTAAACATTTGCTTAAATGAAGATTGATACCAGTGACACATTACTGAAGAGGTTATACCCTACGGAAATAAATTTGATTTGATTTGATTTGAAGATGGAGCACTGGGATTTGTGAGAATGTTAATTAGTAAGAGAAGCTTCCTAAATTTAACAAGGTCAGAGATTGGGATTATTCGAATCTGGGAAAAAAAGAACAGAAGGAGTAGAAAAGTCAGCATCTAGAATAATACATGCTGCACGCTTTTGCAGTCGAAGAATGTGAAGTAAAAGTGTTTTTGAGCAGTTTCCCCAAGTTACAGAGCAGTAGATAAGACTTCAATTAATACAGGAGTTATAGAAACGAAGAGCACAGTCCTTAGTTAAAAAGGGTTTAATCCTGTGTAATAAAGCAAGTCTACTATTAATTGCTGAACACAAGTTGTCAATATGCTTGGTCCAAATTAAAAACTTGTCAAGCGTTAAACCCAACACTCTTGCTTGCTTCACCTGTGCAAGCATGTTGCCATTAAGAATAACTGATAGAGAACGGTCTGAAGTAATCTTAAGTTGTTGGGGAGAATGAATGAGCATGGTCTTGGTTTTCAATTTATTAGTCACCATTCGGTTTTGTTGAGTCCATGGGAGCAACAAGGTTGAGCAACAAGGTTAAGTTTCACATTTAAATCATGAATGGAAGAACCTTCTGTTAGTACGGTGGTGTCATATGCAAACATTGTGGATTCTGACTGCAAAAGTTGTGAAGGGAGATCATTGATAAATAAGATAAAAACAGGGCCAAGAATATTTCCTTGAGGAACACCTATCTTAACAGGACGCATATCCGATAATGTGTTTTTGAAATAAGTGTGTTGTCGTGTGATGGAGCAAAATTGTTAAATGGTTCATGAAATAAATGGGATTCATGAAAATTGATTTATGAAATAAATGGATTTATGAAATAAATTATATTAAGTGCAGTGGTTTGTGTCGGTTTAGGGGGTCTGAATCCTAGCTTGGGATATTCTAATAATAAGGTTTGCATCCCTACTTTATAAAGCCCAGCACTCCTACCTCACCCTTCGGTTGGTTGGATGTTATCCCCCATCACTTCTGATTTATCAATGAAAATACATATGCAGCTCAGAAGGGGAAGTACATATTTACAAAACTACAAACAATTAGTTGAAAATCATGGTGGTCGGTTGCTATGTATTTTGCTCCTGGAAGCGCGGGCTTAATTTTTTCCAGCAGTGTTGGTGTGAATGCGAAATGGCGTCATTTTATAATCGGAAAGGCCATGTCATTCGGCTTAAAATTTGTCACTGTTAGAACAAATTTGTTGGGTATATTTTATCTGGTTTATAAACTTCAATATTTAAATGGAACGATAGTGATAATTTTATTTAGCTGTCAAATAACAATCGGAACTATTAACTGCTGTCAAATAGCTCTAGCCTGCACCGTGGCGGAGTCACAGACGATATATCAAATTCGCCTCCTGTATAGTTTATCTTTCATCCTCTTTTCACCTATATTTGTGTTTCTTCATCAGTATGTGCAGGTAATTTGGGGAAAATTGTCTGATGCAACTTAGTACTAATACAGTGTGTATATCTATTTAAAGTAATATACCGACACTCGACATGAGAGAAACATACAGACTGTTTTGGTTGGCAACAACAAATCTATGGATACATCCATTCTATAGATGGTAATATATACAGCAGATTTAGCTACAGTGCACTTATACCTGCCAAGTATACTACAGTTTATAATTTATATTGCTGCGCAAGATACGTATATGACATAAAATAATAGTAACATACAGTATACCAGTGATTTAAATTCCTTGAAATACACAGCTTTTCCTGAAACAGATTTCATGTCTTTGTGCACACTACTTAGTTTTATCATTTAGTTACAATTCCAAGTGCTTTTTATGATGATGGTTTTCCCATGAGGATCATAGCATATCTGCCACTATCAGATTACCAAGGCATGTTGTCTTTAGCGAGAAATCATAAGTAAAGGTAATTAGTTAAATAAAGGCATGTGCAACTGATTTCTTTTGTAAACTAAACTCAGTCTTCTGTTGTTATATTAATGCAAGTAAAACTTGTGTAAAGGACACGATAAGCTTTTACCGAAGTAAAGAAACCAGCTAACTCAAGACACGCAGGATGAGGTGAAGTAAACAAATTTGAGAATACAAGAATACATGCAGATAAATCAGTAGTTTTGGCTATCAGTCACGATTTCATGGCCCTTGATGTATCATGTATACACCCTGCTTTTGTATATTACTATGTAGGCTAGAAAAACCAGATAATTCTACATAACAAAGGCCTGAAATGATCAGTCAGAGTTGATTACTAATTACTAAGTTTATATAATCTCTGTCTCTCTAATCCTTTGTTGGATTTTCCTGGATTTCCTTTTCCGATCACACGTTAGACTTTTATGGCAATAATCTATCGAGCTAGAAACACAAGACAGCGGGTGGTGAAGCATGTTATGGTGGAGTCACAAATATGCTCATAAATGCAAATGAGTCTGCCGAAGAATATTTTCTCCTCACCTTTCTTCATTACTGCTAGCCATTAGAAGTTATTCAATAAATGATATTCTTCAACTTTGATTTGGGAAGTGCCTCCAAATTTACGTTTTAGCAAAAATATTTGGAAAATACAACGAAAAATGCGAAATTTTCACCTATTTTTGCTTATAATTCTGGCAATGCTATAAATCCAGGGTGGGTTGGGGTTGGGGGGGGTTTCAAAGGGAGATTGTAGGGCACACATGTGTGGTGCTGTGGGACCCCTAGATGGTAGAATTTGTCCATGTGGGCATGATATCCTTCGACCGGAATGTGAAAATACATGCCGAAAATAACACCAAAATTTACCGCTTTGCATTTGTTCTCTGACTAGTTTGCGCTGCAATATCTTTAAACGGTTGAAGAACATACTAATAGACCTTTATAAAAAGGTTGACGTCAGCAGTCTTGTGATGTAGTTTGCGGAGAAAATCCCGAAAGCTCGGAGAAAGCAACATATTATTTGTTTTGATTTTTTAAAAGCTAAAAGAAGCCGATATTATGGTAACTTTGAATTAATTTTTTCTATATATTGGTGAAATGAGTTTTCATATTCGTCGTAGTTTCAATTTTATTTGTTTTTATATTAAATTGTACATTATTTTACTTGGTAAACTTCAGCTCACGACCTTTGCTAAATGTCAACATTTAGCAAATTGTTCGCTCGGTTTGTTTACATATTTTGTTGCTAAAAAGTGTCATTTTTCTTCACTATTTCTCAAATTCATCAGTCTAATCGTGTGTATGCAGTACCCTGGTGCAAATCTTCAGCCAAAACATTGAATCCTCAAACGAACCAAAGAGTAACATTTCACAAATTTCCCTTGGACAATTAAGGCTAGAAAGAAACAGTGGTTGATGAGAATAAGACGAGACGAAAATGGATATTTTAAGGTACACATTTTTTTATCAAAATTAAACATGCATTGGAAATTTTTATGTGGAAAATAATTCCTAGCCTTACAGTAACTCCAACATTAATTTGTTTTAACAGGTGAGAAATCGTATACATTTGTGTGCTCCTTGAACTTTAAGTCGGATGATATTGAATTTCATCGGTTCTGCAAGAAATACTACCTAAAATCTACAGCAGTGCCAAGTGCATTTGATTGCTGGAATGATATTCCTCACCTGTGCAAACCAATCCCAACCCCCAGGAAGCCAAACAAACTCATCCTTAAGAGAGTTAAAGAAGGAGAATCAAAGACAAAGGAAACTACATGTAGCAGCAAGACACACCTTTCAGCAATACCTCTGAATATTATTAATACATGTGAAGAAAACAAGAGTCCACAACATGGTGAATGTTTCTCCAAGAGAAATATAATGAATTACTTAAAAACTGCACTTCACTAAAAAAAGCCAACTCAAAGTTCAAGAAAAAAGTAGAACTTACTTTTTCTGTCGATTCTATCTCTGAAGATAACATCCAGTTTTATACTGGATTTCCACACAAACAAGTATTTGAAAATGTTTTAGAATATTTGAATCCAGGAGAAAATGGTGAAGATATTGTAAATGTGTGCAATCAAGGTACATCTAGAAGTAACGAGAAGTCAGAGCAGGACCTAGTGAATACATCAGGATACCAAAAAGTGGGACGACCAAAGAAACTGAAACCAAGAAATGAGTTCTTCTTATTTCTATGCAGGGCAGGGATGCCGGAAGTTGCTGAGGCAAGGGGTGCAATTGGTTAACAAGAGGGCGTACTCCTTAATAAAAGGGCACCAATGAAAATGAAAGGGCGTCATGATCCTACGTTCGTGTCAACCTCCCTCCCCGTCACCAATTTTTTTCGGACTGAATACAATTATTTAGGCACAATTCCTCCATAATTCTCGCCAAAAATTCCATAAGTAATGCTTTCCGTTTCACCTTTCGCCAAATGGATAACAATTTTGCCAAATTCCTGACGACTGGGGGGTGAAACACCCACTTTCTCGAGCAACGTTTAATTCTGTCCGTTGTAAAAGTTTTTTGCACCTGTTACACCCATAGTCTGCACCCACAAAGTTGAAAATGCAAAAGGCATGGGGTGCACTTGCGCCCGCTGCACCTGTGGTTCCGGCATCCCTGGTGCAGGGTGAGGGTAGGATTACTTGAAACTGATATGGCACACCGGTTTAACATATTTGTTAGTTCTGTGAGCAGCATTATTATATCATGGGCTAATTTTGTTTATTTAAGACTTGGCCTACCAGGGAAACTGGTAACATTCTATGATCACGTCATTCACCTCATCACACCATCACAACATGGTTTTCTTAGAAATCGTTCGTGTATCACTCAGCTTGTCCAAGTTCTTCACTCTGTTGGTCAGTGTCTTGACAAAAACCTTCAGTCTGATATAATTTACCTTGATTTTGCCAAAGCTTTTGATTCTGTAGATCATCAAATACTTCTAAGAAAACTCAAGTCATATGGCGTTACAGGGTGTCTTCTCGACTGGTTTCGTGATTATTTAAGCGGACGTACCCAAAGAGTTGTTGTCGAAGGTGTCCCATCAAGCTGGGTTCCTGTTATCTCTGGCGTGCCACAAGGAAGTATCCTGGGTCCGATACTTTTTGCTGTCTTCATAAACGATCTTCCGGAAGTAATATCCAATGGCTCTTCGGAAGCTATGTATGCTGATGATACAAAATTGTTTAGAAACATCAACTCTACAACTGACGGTGATTGTCTACAAGAATCTTTATCCAACCTCGACACGTGGAGCCATGATAATAACATCAAGTTCAACGCATTAAAATGTAAGGTTTTGAGCGTGACTCGAAAGAAATATCCCGTGACTTACAACTATCATCTGGGTTAATCTTCGTTGCTTCGTGTCCGGAAAGAAAAAGATCTCGGCATCATCGTGACAGACAATCTCTTGTGGAACTCGCATATTCAAATGATAACAGCTAAAGCTAACAAGATGCTTGGTCTCCTAAAGAGAACTTGTCCTTTATTGACGGAAACCAAAATACGGCGTTCATTATACCTATCGCTTGTAAAGTCGAAGTTATGCTATGGTACTGAAATTTGGTCTCCATCCAATGTCTCCCTCAAAGTCAAGATCGAAAGAATACAACGACGCGCGACAAGATGGATCCTAAGATCAAGAATAGGTGAGATATCATACCAGGAGAGACTTCAGACTTTGGACATGCTGCCGCTGTGTTACGACAGAGAAATCCAAGACTTGGTCTTCTTCTATAAGGCACTATACGGTTACGTAGACTTAGACATAGGCAATTATGTTAGTTTTGTTAGTCATGATCGTTCTCGACTAACCTTAAATCCCAGTCTATTACTTCAAGTGCCGTTATGTAGAACAACTACGTTTAAAAACTCTTACTTTAATCGAACAGTTCATTTATGGAATGTAGTGTGTAGAACTGCATCACCTAATAGCTTCGTGACATTATTTACTTTTAAGAACTTTCTTCGTCGGACTTATTCGTTTTTACGTAATTCAGTTTTTGACGTAGACATGCCATGTACCTGGTCTCTTGTTCGAGACTGTCCATGTCACAGAAATTAAAATAATGTATAGTTCTTTGATTGAAGTAAAGTTCGTTTCGTGTACATGCCTAAGTCACATGTTTTCAAAACCAAGTTAGTTTTATTTTCCGTACAAATTTTCCAAAATCTTCATGCATTTTACGTATTTCGAGATTCTGTGGGTATGCGCAAATCGAGCTTTACCTCAACTATAATTTACAGTGTAATGTAATTTTTTGTGTAAAGTTTGTAAGGGAGGTGCCTCGCATGGGCTTTTTCTGACCCGTTTGCACCTTTCCTTTTGGGAAACATCTATTTATCGTTATTGTTAGTATTCCCAATAAAGTTATAAAGAAGATGTAAACTGTTTATAAAACCATGCCCATCTCATTTTGTGAGAAATATCCATCAACAAGAGTGATTATCGATGCAACTGAGATCTTCTCTTGTACTTCAATCACAAACCTACTCTAATTATAAGTCAACAAATATATTGAAAGGTTTAATTGGTATTTCTCCATCTGGAAATATTAATGTGACTCATATAAAAGTGTCTCAAACTGTGCTGAGTTCAAATCCTAACAGTCAATTAATCATCTTCAAAGTTATATAAACATATCTGGATTAAAACTACTATATAAAATGATATATAATATCATAATGTCATCGAGAGCAACAATTTTCAATGGTGGAAGATATAATAAAAGTATTTCTGAATCGATTGGTACTCTTGGGGATTGAAAAATGTCTGTTCTACCCTAGTTCATGGTATGCTACATTGGTCATGGGTAGCAACGTATTCAATTTGTTATCCTAGTTGTTCACAATCGACTTAAAAAAGTTCCTACAGATAGCTTCTCTATAGCTAGGACATAATGGTGGGAATGTTTGCTTCTGTCAGGGCATCATAATATGCCAAACTAGAACTGATGATTAAAAATGCCATTTATTGGAGGCGTTCCAGTTCATTTTGTAGATACATTGGCAAGGCGTAAAAAATACTGGACTAGCATAAGTTAAAATAGATTGGATGTATACCGGGTGTCCCAAAAAAAAGTACTCCTGTTTGATTCGTAATAACTTCTAAACAAGTAAAGCTTTTAAAGAGAAATAACTTGCATTAAATAGAGGAAGGACTAACTTAGATTTTGATATATTACAGTTGTATTTTACTTAAAAATTCACGGAGATATTAATGTTCAAAATCGGGTGCATATTTTCGGATGTGTCTAAAATTAGCAAAAATCGGCATATCAAATATTAACTCCAGCGTTTGTTTGCTTAATGACATATCAGGCTAACTTGTATTTCAGCGAATTATCGTTAGGGTTTGTAAGGGATATGGCGTAGATTTAGACATCTTACATGTAATTCTTAGCTCATTGTTTCCTGAAATATCGGAACGTTCGCAAGTATTTAATATTAGGTCTTCACAAACTTAAAAGTACATGAAAGACCATGGAAGGCAGGCGCTTAAATTTTTCTTAAATAGCCTAATTTTTTATGTTTTTAATGGGTTCAAACAGACTGAGTTGATTATTTCTCGGTTAGAGCAGGATGAATATTATTCTTTATTGAAGGAAATAATATTGCTTTTTGCAAATACACATCACCGTATCAACGCTACTATTTTGTTAGGTTTTGTTCCAAAAATGTTGCATGTCTCTGGGGATCGGAGTTGCTTAATTGTTATGTCTTATGGAGTTATATGGTTTGATTGTGTTTTATATAATTCTCAGTTTACTCTGAACTTGCCAAGATTAAGAAAAGGCAAAAGAGTTGGGTGTTCTTAACAAGATTTCGGAACGTTGCAGAAGTTAGAAGTGCTTCACAATTCCATTGTGACAGCATGCCCTAATTCAGAACTACGAACGATTCATGACGATCCTTCGAGATGCAGTGGTCTCATGAAATAAGGAAACGTATTCGTGCTAGGAACACACGCGAATTTCGGACGAATAAATCTTGCTTGTATTTTGTAGATATAATAATACTTTGTTTCATAATAAACAATTTATCAAGTGTCATTTATTTACTGGTAATCGTGCATGTTTCAGTCGGGCAAATCTTGATTAATATTTGATACGCCGTTTTTTGCATATTTCAGACACATCCCAAAATATGCTCCCGATTTTAAAGATTAATATCTCCGTGAATTTTTACGTTAAATACAACTGTAATATATCAAAATCTAAGTTAGTCCTTCCTCTATTTAATGCAAGTTATTTCTCTAAAAAAGCTTTACTTGTTTAGAAGTTATTACGAATCAAACAGGAGTACTTTTTTTTGGGACACCCGGTATATATATATATATATATATATATATATATATATATATATATATATATATATATATATATATATATATATATATATATATATATATATATATATATATATATATATATATATATAGCTTAAGATCTTGGTTTACGAAACACAAACAGTGCTCAATACCATATAGATAGAGCGTAATATAGTTTTTCGTTTTACCTCAAAAAACCACAACAGTCTGTTTCATCCGCATAGGATGTTTCATCCGCATGAAACAGACTGTTGTGGTTTTTTGAGGTAAAACGAAAAACTATACGAATATATATATATATATATATATATATATATATATATATATATATATATATATATATATATATATATATATATA